TCAAGACAATAGTTACATATAATGTAAGCATAAATGTTATGAAATAACTATTACATTAAAAAACTAAAAATCATAAATGTTATATGTAGTATAACTATTACATTATATTACATACTAGTCTTATATGTGTCGCGCGTTGCGTGACCAGTGTTTCGGTTGATTTTTTTTACGATTTTTGTATTTGAGAATGTTATAATTAATTTCAACTACACATTTCATAACAAACTTAATAGCTTCTGGAAAAAACCGAAGCAATTGTTTTTTATTTTTTTCTGGAGAAAACATTAGAATATTGTCCAATTTGTTTTATTTTAAAAAAATGAATATTATAAATTATCCTAAGAAAATCGAAAGGAAAATACTTGTGTGTGTTTGTGGAAAAAAATACTTGTCCAATGTCTATACAGTTTAGCAATAGCCATCATGCCCGTAGCCACTTATTCATCGAGTAAAAATAGTATGAAATGTGATGTTGATACCATAATTTCCAAGTCAAGCACTATGATTATGCAATCTCTACACATAATCATTGATTAAAAATTTTAGAGGATGAAATTCTAACAAAAACAAATTTGGATTGATTGAATAGATCATAGTATAGACACCAACAACAGGGAAAAAAAAAAAATAAAGGTCCAAAGGAACATCAAAAATATAATATATTTGTGGATAGATTATCTATCACTCTTTTCAACTTGCGACCCCCTAACTAATGCAATCTTCAAATCGAGCGATCAATGATCAGGCCAGAAAACAGCATATAAGCTGCTCCTAGCCTGATGCAGCAGCAAACAACAGCGTTCTTATTTAAACTTTTGCTCTTTCAAAATGAATCAGGCCTTGTTTAGACAACCTTCCATTTTACATTTTCACTCATTTTACGTCTTAAACACAAAACCCAATGGAAAAGAAAACATCATCCAAACAACTTTATTGATTTACATTTTAAATTCCAACTTGAAACACTTTTTGTTAGTATAATAACCATTTTAGAACTACAAATAGTTCAGTGACAAATTTGGCAGGATTCCGTTGTTGAGTGATTGGTTTTGAAAAAGTTTTTTTTGCAGTGACTATAATTGACAGTATTTAATTGTTTAATGATGACTTGTACTTAATATTTCAAAATGTAGTTCGAAATAATTTTTTTTCAAAACCAACCCCAACAACATTTTTATTTCCCATTTAATTTTCAATTAGAAACACTTTCTACTTTTAAGTGGCAAAATAAAATGTAAGTTAACGTCCAAACAAGCACTCAATCTTTTATCATGCTATTCGATGCTTTTACGAAAAAAACCATAAGAAGCTATCTCCTCTGGAATTGCGCTTGCAACTTGAATGCATCAATGGAAACTGAACCGATGGATTCGATTGATCTTCAGCCACTTCCCTACACCAACATATTGGGAAACTGCACGTATTCATATAAGCTTTATTCTAGCCTATATCATTGCCATACAATTTCAAAAACAAAAACAAGAATAAAGAACATTAACACCATATAAGGTCTAAGAAATACACTACTGTATATATGTATACATAGTATTCAGCATGCATGATTTATCTGAACTAAAAACTACATATATAATTCCTGATTTTCGAATACACAAAGAAGCAGGAGATGCAACATATAAGAGCAACAACAGCACATCAAAACAATCACAACAAGACACAACAATAATCAGAGAATCAAAATGGAAAGCAGGTCATCAAACTTAATCATTCTTGTAATTATGATTCTTCATGATTAATTAGTCAATACGAAAACGATCAAAACAACAATAGTAACGACATACACAGAAACTGCACGGGTGCTGTTGAAGTTATTTAATAAACAACTACACATAGATCATGCTTTAGACAAGCTTTAATGTAAATCAGCATTATTAGTCAGACGTCCAAAAAGCAGCTCAGTCGATTCTGACCAAGAGATCAAGAACAGATTAAATTAATCAATGCCAACTATCATGTCTGATTAAAAGAGAAAAGTTGTGATCAAGAAAATCAAGTTATATATGACGGTCAATGCCAACTGTCTATGACTACTAAGCAAACCAAGTTGTAATCAATGCCAACTACCAATGTTGACGCATAATTGAACACATTAAGTTATAGCAAACTGATAATAGCAAACTCCCTGTTAATCTTAAACAAGAAGGATAAAAACAATAACAATATCTTAGGATAGAGGATGGAAAACTACCTGCGTAAGAGGATGGAAGCTTGAATTTGAAGAAAATTCTTTGCTAGAGTTGCAGAAGAACGAGACTGCACTTTAGAGGAGATGGAATCTGTTTTCATGAAATATTAACAGTTAAGTATTGAATTTAACATATCTCTAAAACAGAAAAAGTATTTATGCTATTCAACGCTCATGATTCATAACTATAATAAGACAGAAATAGTAGGAAATTATTTAATTTCAAAAAAAGCACAGAAGCAAACCGACCACGATAAACCAAAATACAAAAACTCAAAAACTATAGAATCGTAATAAAAACTCAAAACTCAAAAACTATAGCAACCACTTAATTACGGGATAAACCATAGATTTTACCGGTTTCGAAGTGGAAGTTGCAAAGCTGTAGAGAGAGCTTGGGGTGGTTCTGTTTGTAAGATTTGATGGTGTTCCACTAATAAAAGGAAATTCATAGTCTTAAATCCATCTCCGAAAACGCTAAACACACTCGCTACTTATGAGACAAGTTTGCCTCCGTAGCGGGAATCTTATGGTTTCACTTCGGATTTCGGACGCCATTTTTTCTTTTTCGAACCCCAAAATACAGATTATCGTGGGTTTAAATTTTCCATACATTATTGTTGTTCTAATCCTTTTAAAATTAATCGGCAAAAACCCAAAAGAGCACAATAATTCCAAATCAGAATGCTTCACCTCTTGTTTTCTAGTTTTACCTTTTCTCTCAACGACCGCACTTCCAACATCGGTAGTATAGCTCCAAAATTTTTGAGTCTTCAAGTTCAACAGCTACAACATGCCATCTGCAAATGACAGTGACCAAAAGCAAATTTATTGTTCCAAAAACCAAATGTCACGACAACACAAAGTTGATAAAGAATGTTATGAAGATGGTCAGTAAAGCAATGTTCGCAAAGGATGTACATTAGATCAGAACTACACATAGGAAAAGAAATACAGGAACTAAAGCATGTAAAATACACAAAAACAAGCCACTACTTCAAACTAAATTTATCTCATCTAGTTATTTGGTAATGTCGGAATCAAACAAAGCTTTTGAGCTACATGTACTCAACAATCCAAATAAAGTAAACTTAAGACAGGAAGTTTAAACAACAAACAACACCAGATGATATCTTAAAACAACAATAGTTCTTTATGCAAAAACTCTGGCAATACTAAATACCTCCAAGGTAGTCAGTGTAGAATTTCAGAGAGTTGGAACATGAAGTGCTCTGCCGTCTACACAGACATCTCCTCTGAAACCTCACTTCAATCTTCAGAATCTCAATCCAACTCTGTACTCACCAAAGAAAACAAATCACAGCTTTATTACAAAATCATCACAAACAAACGAAAATTCCATAACAACCCAAATCTCAAAAAAGAAAAAAAAAACCTTCAAACCTGTCAGTTCGATAAAGAAATCTTCTGACATCTTTCATTGAAATCTAAAACAATCTTGATATTTTCCGGCTTCTCGGCGTGCTCGATAGTTAAATAAACATTGATGCAAGTTTGAGGGAATAATAGAAGTTAGAGACCCGTAACCAGAGCAGTGGTTCTCAAAATTTTTAGCGGCTTTCCTTAATAGAAATTGGTAGTGGTGCTGAGTCCTTCATATTCGAGGGCGTCAGATTTTTGGAATTACGAGCCAAATCGTAAAAGAAGTTTTGTTGGCAGCAAGCCACAGGGATCAAAAGGGGTGGAGGAACGAAGAGAACCAACAGTGTTTTTGGTTAAACAAAAGCCGAAAACACCATTTTTATTGGTGTGGACTTCATACAAACACGTAAATGCCGTTTTACATTCTAATAGGGGAAACAGAAATCTTGCCAGGCGATTTTCTTTTCGAGCTATACTTGGTTCCCAAATCCGAAGACAAGAACGAAGCAATTGTCAATTGCGGTTTTTAATATATCGGGCGGTAAGTCAAATCGTTTTGTGGGAGGGGGATTTATACCAAAAGATTTCGTTTTGTTTTTTTTTTTTCTTAAAATTAATGGGAATCATGATTTTTGAATTTTCGTTTTCACCCTAGACCTAGAGACAACACAAGTTTTTTACTTTTTTTTTCTTGTTTGGGGGTTTTCTTCTTCCCTCAAAAGCATAGGGTTTTTTTTTTTTTAAATTAAAATATGCTGAATTTAGTAAATCTCATTTTTACCCCTAATAAGTCGCTGACATCATATCAACTCCATCCGACGGACGAGATCTATTCGACGATAGTCCTTGAATATTTATTGAGCATTATTTCTTGTCTACTCTACCTACGGTGGTGCCTATTGTTGTCGCGCGTTGCGCCACCAGTGTTTTTGTTACATTTTTATATATTGTTTGTGATTGAGAAGATCTATGATAGTTAAATTTCGGTAACACATTCAAAGCTTAATTTCGGTAAAAAGTATAACAATTCAATTTTTTTATTTTGTAATTTTCAGCACATTGTGTTTTCTTCTGTAATTAAATCATCTTATAGTTGACAGATTTATGATTTTGTTAAAATTTCAGCATTGTTCATTAAACGCGCATGTTACTTATCACTTAAATTTGGTTATTACTTGGTTACAAATTTCTTCATTTACCAAGTCCTTTAATGTGACAACCAATTCTTGAAATAGCTTCCTTTGCATTTTTTCAGATACAATTTTTTTAGATATATACTATTTTTTTGATGAGTTTTGTTATGCTTCATGTTCATACATAACAACTCTCATAATCGGAATAAAATTTCAGCACAAAAGGGTTAGCTAGAGTTGAGGTGATCTCAAAAACTGGCAGACATGAACACCAAAGATGACTGTACTTGAGGGAAGAATTCCAAATAATTAAGCAATTCAAGAACTCTCAATGAAAAAGGCCTCCATTTACTTGGTAGAAGTGCTTCTTGTGCAATTTTGATTCCTTTCCCTGCATTTGAAGCTTCTAATTGTACATCATTCCTTAATATATCGGAAAGACCGACTGACCACACTTACGGTCCCTAATGAAAATTTTCAATCTAAAGAAGAATAATTAACATCGGATTCAATCATTTAGATGTGCTAATCTCCAATTCTCCAATTGTATAGCCTACAGATGAATTTCAAAGTTCAAACATCTAAGCTATAATTTTGAAAACTCAAAAAGCAATTAACAATGAACCATTTTCATGATGTTTAATTGAGTTTTTAAATTCTGAATAACATTGTAGACCGATCCACTGCCAAGGTCAGACAAGGCTCATCCTCTCCTACTGTTATCAGTTTGCAAAACATATCCAACCTCTGCAAAATGGGATTTGGCCAGTGATACAGCCCTAGAATGGTGTGAGATTTTGTTCTTTTCTTCTTTTGCCACCTCAGCATACCTGGAGCAACATCATTACATTGAATTGAAATCCAAAATAAAATGATGACAGTTCCAAATGAATTGAAATAAGGCACATAAAAATTCGAGAATGCATCTTACATTTGATCATCGTCATCTGGCTGAAATATTGGATCCCATCCAAAATCTTTGGGTCCCCTTGCAGGAACAAGTTCTCCCTATCATCTCACTCAAACAATTGGAGAGTTGATTAACAAACTGGCTATGAGCAATTAGCATTCAAACAGGCAAGAAAGCTTCACATGGAAAGTATTATGAGAACATTGGTCGGTAAAGGCAAATCAGACGAAAATGTGGGAGGTAAAAGTTGGGGAAACAAGATAATACTTTTCAAAGGAGTAGATTAGACTATTTTCAGTTTCTTCATAAAATAACTGTTTCAGAAAACTAAAAGAGGTTGATGAATTGCTTATTGAACACCTTACACACTCGATTGCCTACGCAATAGCAATACAATTCAAGACGTGGAAGCCTCTGTTTAAGTCAAATCAATAGTTTGTTCCAGAAACTGAAATTGGATAACAGGAAAAGCTAAAAAGGAACATTTGTGCAAAGCCAAATCTCACACAAAATATGAATGAATATGTGGACAGAGAATAGCTCAAGTAATCAAAACACTCTTGGTAAGCTCAAAAACGAAACAGCCGCATTATTAGTTTCAAATTTGTCTGACATCTGGTCATTGTAGATCAAAAACCAGTACCATGTAATATTCATTCTACGGAAACGATGACATACCGGCATTTTCCCGAGGAAAGTTATAGGCTCTACATTGGGCCCTAGAGCAATGGGAAAAATGCAAAGAGAGAAGGATGACTTATCGTTATAAGCCATCAATAAGTTATTGAGTCCTAGAAACAAATGAACAAGTCATGAGCAAAGAAGAAACTTGAAAACTTGGAGATTAACAAACCAGAACCAAGATGTGGGAAGAGGAATCAGAAAGAAAGGAAATGGAATAAGAGAATATGCCATCATGTCTGGTCTTCTGCAGAAACCACTTGCTGAAAGTTTTAAGTTCAAATTGACAAGAAAAGCGAAACAAAGGTATTAGCTGTAAGATTGATTGAGAATAATTTTAGAAAGAAGTCGCAAGAAATTATAGACTCGGAGGTCATCTTTCCAAGAAAGTGTAAGGTGAACCAACTACCAAGTTCTAGATAAATGTTTGTTTGACCAAAAATACAGAAATTGTAGACAGATTAAGACACCATATGATTACCATAAGATAGAACTTTTGAAGTCGTAAGTGACAGGGAACTAAATCCTATCACGAAGAACACAAATTCCAACGGAAAAAAATACCTTGGATGACGGCACGCCAATCCACTTCCCTGCCAATTCCACCGCCATGGCCATCTCCACCCCACGACTTACCAATCACCAAGAGCTTTGCTCAACTACAATTGAATCCTCAAGCTAGAATGAATTAACAGTTTACAAACCAAAAGGAACATTAATTTGTCCCTTCTCAGCGTCCGAAATCAAATGCTGGATCAAAGCAGATATCTAATTGCGGCATGGATACAACGTCCGGCTGTTAATTTGACCGGCATTGGTAGTTTATATTCTGATTTACGGGAACCAAAACAGGTAAAACTCTTCTCTTGAGGGCTGACTGGGGCTGGTGCCGAAAAGTTGATAGAACGGAAGAAAAAAGATGTATTTACTGCAACTACTAATTCAATTAGATTTCACAATTAAAGTACAACTCAAACCTGAGTGAACCGTTTATAATCTTCAGTTGTCCCCAGAATTCATGATTAATGCAGAATAGCCGCTGGTGGGTTGAACTTTCTGCATTGCGTATACAAATTGAACGACGATCGTCAGATTCGACTCCGCGGCAACCTCGATCAAATTTTGTCCAATCTGAAAAATCCTAACCTTCTTCAGTATATTGTTTTCCTACGTTAGACAAGTTTGAAAGAAACTTTAATGTTCTAAAGTACATATATATCTTAGGGAGACAATTCTAAAGCAAAACCTCAATGGCTTAGTATCTAGGGTTACAGGAAACATTCGAACTCAATAATTACTAATAATAACAAAGTTTGAAGCAAGGAGAAACATCGAAACTAAATAATAATAACAAAATCTGAACAAAAGTTTATAAATGAAACCTGAAACAACGAATTTCGTGGAAGAAACTTTGGGCGTTGCTCACTTCTTTTTGGCCTTTTAAGTCGTTTGATGCTGGAGTATATGATTGGCGAATCAGCTTTGTCCCAACACTATGGAAAAAAATTTCAATGAGGAATTAGTCCACTAAAACCTAATCAATTCAAAACCACCTAATCAATTCAAAACCAAGCAAGACAAAATTCCCAGTACATCAAATTTTTCCAATGAAGAATTAATCCACTCGAACCTAACTAATTAAAAATCCAAGCAAAACTTTATGCCGTCGAAGAGACTTACCTTCCATGTGCATGGATGGCCAATTATGCCTCTTGAATCATCAAAGTTTTTTTTTTTTTTTAATCGTGGCACTTGCAAAGCCAACCCCTGAAACTCTCTACCAATGGTGTGAGGATCGAGGGCTGAGCGGCGGGGGAAACCATCTGCACCAATTGACCGCCGGAAATCCTCAAAGAGCCCAATTAGAAACGGAGAAACGGTGAGCCTGACTGGAGGATTTCGATGAATGTATTTTTGGCGAAAGGAGGACGAGGATCGATGATGGCTGGATGATTTGTTTTTAAGGGGGCTGAAGAAGAAAAGGTAGAACGACGGGGGTTGTCTTTTTGGGCTGTGGAATGGGTAGTTTGGGGATCTCTTAATTCCTTTTTTTTCTTTTTTTTCCAGTCGAAAGAGAGTACATCACGATGTCGTTTTTTATGAACGACATCGTTTTTTTTTTTAAATTGTTGGGATGGGCTAAATTCATGAATTAACGTTTTTGCCCATAATAAGTCGCTGACGTCATATCTACCCCATCCGACGGACGAGATCGATTCTACGGTAGTCTTTGAATATTTCTTGGACATTATTTCTTGCTTACTGTACCTTTTATTTAAGTATAAGAATAATGTAAGCATAAATGTTATGAAATAACTATTACATTAAAAAAACAACTAACACCTTCACGAGAGGAAATTGAAAACAACAATACATTAAAAATCATTGCACAACTCCTTAAGCTTTTCCCAATATCTCTAACTTATCATAGTCTGGGAATGAATATGGATCCATATTCAATGGTAAAAGGAAGGTATAAATTTCATGTCGTAAATCAAATACTCATCTGATGACACTGAAGCATCATCATCATCATCATAAAGAGATTCAATCACGAGGTTCCCATTCGCATTTAGCTCATATAGTGGCCGCTGAACATTAGCTGTGGTCTGAATTGTTCCGAAATATGGATCCTCAACACCATTATTAGAAGATGCATCCATATTGTTGTTATCTTCTTCCCAAGAACTCTTTTCTTCATGGCCAATATCGTCTTCATTACCTAAGGGAACGGGTTTTGTCACGTCTTCCACTTCGCACTCATTCTTCATCGTCCGAGGAGCCAAAACCTCCTCCTCATTGTTGTTGATCACATCGAGCCACGCTGCGGTTTCCGTGGTGGACATCTTATCCAGCAACCGTTTCGAGGAGATGATGCTGCAAATCTCTTCTGGAGACATGTGTTTGAAAACTGCTTGGAGCACACTTACTTTCCAATCTTTCTTTAAATTGTAATGATTTTGGTAAGGAGGAGGATCCGGATGTGTTGTTTGTCGCCCCCATAACGCAGACCACCAATCCTCCTTCCCCGTAGGCCACCAAGGTGGAGACACGCCTTTCCTGAAAGGAAACTGTTTCTGAGGCGGGTGACAATGTGGAAGGAGAGCGGATAGAAAGCAATTTAGGGTTAGATTCCGAAACTCGAATAAAGGGGGACGAGTTGATGATGATGATCTACCCACATTCAGTTCTTTAGCAAACTGTTCTTGTTCTTCTTCAGTTTTCTCTCTTTTGGGCACCATTAACCTAGGTTCCGCCTTTGGAGTAAGGTCGTCTTCTTCATCAAGGATTACTATAGGTTCCAACTCATCAAAGGATCCCATATCTTGAGAAGACCCCATTTTAATTTAGAATCTGAATCTTTCCCAAACTATAATAAAATCTCAAATAAACTATCTTCGAGTAATTGATTCCGTTTCTTAGAGCAGATTTTTACTATAGCTTTCTTTGAATCTTGTTGAGGTCTGCATATGATGACAATATATCTAACAAAAATAAGTAAACATGATCTCAATTTTAAAGAAAAACATATAGTAATAAAAGTTCTATTTTTATCGTACCATAACCAGTGCTACAAAAAGTTCTAACTCAAGAAAACAATCTAACAACATTGAAGGTACGAACGAAAAAGGACGTCAGAGTTAGAGATCTCCAACACCAAATTTAAAGGAAAAATTGAAAAGAAAACAAGGAGAACATGAAATCGAAAAAGATGCGTTTAGGTTTTTACCTTTACCGACGCCTTTTGTTCTAGGAGTCTCGAAAAGTTCTTTCTCGAGTTTGTGAAATAATAAGAGCAAAGCTTAAAATTTATTTGAGGCTAACACCGTAGACATTAATAACGGGGAACTATCTATATGGATATCCACCGTATTCTGTCGGAAGAAATCTACACCTTCCAAAAATAAGATTATTCTTGAGGAACAAGGTCTTAGCTTTCCAAAAAAAATTTTAAAACAAAAGAAAGGAAATAAAGAATCGGCCAAGACAGCCGTAATGACTGAATAACCCTCTCTACTTAGATCAACGGCTCAGATAACCTAGTTAATATATTTTCGAAAAAAAAACTCTAGTTATTAACCTCAGTTAAACTACAATTGTACATTCTAAAATCCAAACTAGGCATTCTTGGAACAGCCCTAATTGTACAAAAAAATTTTATTAACTAATTATTTTATCCATCAAAAAGTCTATAATCCTAGGAAAAAACTCATTACCGATGGCGGAACTCTCTAACAAATATACAAGACAAGAAGAAATTAGTAATTAGGAAATGCCTATGTATGAGCAAGTGGTATATCGAGATACCTTCGATTGAGCAGCTAGCTAGCCAACAATAGATATTGCTGTTAGTCTGCACATTGATCTCCCTAATAAGGATCATACGATTTAGGTGCAGCAAATGTAAAGACAATAAACTTTAATCTATTGACAAGTACTTGTTTAGCGCAGAAACTACGCTAATGTATTTTTGCATACATATTAAGACGACACTGTTCTGAAAATAATTATTCTTTAACTCCAAAGTCTTACAATACAAATGACAGTTATTTTGAAACAACAAAAGCTAATAATTAATAATCCTAGAAATATCAGATTAGGCTATCTTTGTGGTTGGTCATTTTTATGGCTTCTACTGTCGCGGGATTTGAGGAGAACAAATACGAAATTCGGCAGGAATTCTTCTTAGGAGTGAGACTCCTAGATTGATATTTGTTTTATATCCTAGATTGATATTTGTTTTATATATATACATTTATATATTTTAATGATTTGCTCAATAGGATTTAAAAGATTTTCTCAAAGAGGATGTAAAAGAAAGTCCATTTTATGGAGGGATGATCTAATTTAGTCCCAGTAGTTGAAACAATTAAAAACAAAATTGTACATTCAACAAATTGAACTACTTCCATCGACTACAAAAAAAAAAAAGATAATTTAATTGTATTAGTTTAGCTTAATAAAATAATTTAATTTTTTGAGAAGAAATCAATTTGTAGCATTTCAATAAAATGGAGGGAGTACTAATTTCATACACGTAGTTTTTTTATGTTCATTCACGGGTTAGTTGTCGTGTTTTATTTCAAATCCAACATTTCTGATCATTCATTTATTCATCTATTTTTTGATGGGGTTGGATGATAAGAAACTATGTACAAGGTTAGCTTCTGATTTTAAGTTTGTAAGAAAAGATTCATTACAAAAATGCATGTGAAACAAAAAGCAAAAAAACCCTGGTTTGCAAAAAAAAAAAAGGTTGAATATTTCTCCTGTCAAATGTGACGGTATCACATTGCATAAATCACGCAATCATCGTTTTGGAGCCGATGTTAAATTCTGTCAAAATTTAAAACATCAGAAAAACGTTGAAGTTTGATTTAGCTTTTATTCTAATAACGGTCGAATATGGATTCTTCCAGTGAAAAGTTTTAATATACATATTATAGGTGAGCAGTAGCAAAATAATGCATATAGAAGTAGGGCATCCTAATTTGCATAAAATAATTTTGTTTCCGAGGTGTATGCCAATCAACTAGGGAGAAAGACAAGCTCTTTGGTCGGAAATGAAGCATTTTTACGAAGCTCATGTTGGGGAATCGAAGGAGACTTTAACATCATTTGTTCAATCAATGAATACTCCGGACAATAAGAATAGGATGGTAATGCAATGGAAGACTTCAAATATTGTTGTATTAATGAATGTAAGTTGGTGGAGATTCAAATAGTGGGGTCAGAGTTCACTTGGGGTGGCATTTGATAAACTGGATGGGGCCAGAATTCTTTTGCAATGGAATGCGTTGAGCTTTTTCTGAATTCTTCGATTCAACATTTAAGGAAGACATGTTTAAATCACACACCTTTGCATCATTAATTTGATCATGATTCAGAAAAGAACCTAAATTATTTAGGTTTCAGAGAACGTAGTTGCTCAGAGCTGAATTTGATCATGATCACTTACTGTTTGAAGTACACAACTTAATAAGAAAGATATGTAATTTAAGAATTATGTTCACAACTTAATCTAAAACTTTTGACTTACCATTAAAAATTAATGGTACCCACACACAGACACATGAATATAGCACCACCAGAAAACGAGAGAAAAATGTGGTATCTAAAGTTGTTACCCTGCAGTCCCATGTTTCTATTAATTTAAAAAACCCCTTGAAAATAAACAACCCTAGACCCAGTAGCGGATCTAGGATAAAATTACAGAGGAGGCCACATATATAATACAAAAGTATCATCGTAAATAAAATATCTTCTTCGCGTTGTAATAGTTGCCACATACAACAATATCTTAGGAGGCCACTATTTATGATAATATTTAAATTTAATATTATTTTAAAAAAAAAGTAAAACAGGAATTATTTTAACATCATTAAAAAATTCAAATTTGCATATGATGAGTCTTTATCATTTTATAGTATTTTAAAACTATCTGGAAAATTATTTCTTACAATATTCCTTCTGTAATTAGTTTACATCAGTGTAGTAACAAAATGCCAAAACGAAATTTATATTTAAAATAGTCAAAACCTTAAAATTTTTTAGACATATGCATAGATAATAAATATTAAATAAGGATTCAAATAAAAAGTTTCAAAGAACATGTTAATACAAAAATACAAATTTTTAATCATCAGAATAAGAAAGATTACACGTAACTCAATATTAGAAAATAAAAAAATAAAAAATTATAGTGTGTAGATAAAGCTTGATAGTCTCATCATTTTTTGGAATTGGTTGTTTTTTGAGAAAATGAAAAAAACAAGGTGTTCAACAGCAACGCATACTTTGTGAAATATGCAAGAAATGAATATTCAATTCTCAAAAATAAAATTCCACTAGATTAGGAGAGTTTTGGGGTCCAGCAAAACCTAATTAATAGTAAAAAGAAAATGTTCAGTAATAATTAAGTTCTACCATGTAAAAAATAAAATAAAATAAATATATATAAGGTCCAGGGCGGGCCCAGTGGGGGCCATGGTCCCCAGGGCCCTCACCCTGGATCCGCCAGCGCCTAGACCTTAAAGGAGAAATTTAAATAGTATGCTGAAATTTTCTCTTTATTGGTGTGTTGTACAGAGTTTGGTGGTAAGGAATATGATTGGTTTAGGTAAACAACAAAGTGGACATTTATACTTGGTTGCAATGGTGAGGAAATAAAACACATAGCCCATTTCTGATTCATGATCTACTGCTGCAAATTTGATGAGTGCAAAATAACTCCTTATACTCGTAAAATTGGGAGTCGAAGCTGTAGTAGTGGCAAGAGGTGTCGATTCCACGATAACTTTATAGACTAACAAGTACATTCTCTTTAATTCTCACTAGTGTTAGTAACCAAATAGAGACTTTAAGAAAGTTAATAGAGTCTGGGAAAATAAGAGAATGCTTTAAAGGTCGAACTCAATATCTTAGGTAAGGGGGTACTCGATCGCAATTTCCACTTCATTCATTAACTAACTATCAAACTTACGTTTGGTGACTAAATTATGGCCAGTTTTTTTTTTTTTTTTTGATATCCTGAAACCTCTTCAAAAGTCGAGAGGGTATTGCAACAATCCAACTCAACCTATATTCTCATGGTTATGCCAAACTATGAAGTCACATAAGACCAACTATGCTTTGCCGATATATTAATAAATTCCTATCCGAGAAGAAGTCTTAACCTTTTACACTTAAGTCATAGGCCAATCCAACTAGATCTAGACTAAGTATTCTATTCATAGATATGCAAGAGTTCATGAGCACTAGCAGCTATCTGATCAAGATAAAAGCTAGGAAGATTAAAACAATTGAATTGGGAACTTAAATTCACCACAAAGTTCAATGATCAATAAATAAAATCGATGAACATCCGTGATTGAACCCTCAAAGGCTGTTTAGCCACTCATATTTGAATTAATCACAAAAGCAAATATAGGAAAACAATTGAATCCATGAACACAAGTTGAAAGAAATTAAAAAAAAAAGCTCTTTGGGACGTAATCCCCTTATACATGGTTCTTGAATTGGATCTTGTTGTTAAATGATCTCCAACATGTTTTGTTGTTTCTCCCTATGTACCTCTACAACTACCTCTGATGATTGATATTAGTTTCAAGAAGTTCTTACGGTCTTTATTCTTCAAAAATTCAGACTTTAGGTCCCAAATGAAAAGCTAACAATTAGGATTGAGACACACTGTATAGTGCTCTAACGCTGCTCTATAGAGGGGTATGAAAAATCAACCTAGCCAAACCCTGCTCCATATCTCCCAATCGCTCGGTAGAGTGCTACAGTTCTGAGATCACAACTCTCAAATACTTTTCTTTTGATTGACTTCGTGGAGTGA